GGAGCCATAGGCAAAGAGATAACTGGTCTATTGAGCTTGCTAAGCCAGTAGAAGATAAGCTTGGAGTTGATGCTGTCCATCTAGATTGTCTTTAGGGAAAGCATGCCTGAGAATAAAGCCAACAGCACAGAAGGTAAGGCCAAAATCAGAGGCAGACCAGAAGAGAAAGAAAATTTACCCTGAGAACATACTCTGGGGCCCTGCATCCAATCACTACACATTCATCCCCATGAATTTCTCAGGTGAACTGATAAATTCCCATTTTTGGTTAAATGTCACTTTCTCAAAGAGTCCTTGCTAATTCACTGTGCCCCCAGCCATAGCAGGATAGGGACAGCCATTCTGAAGTGCCGTATCTGATTTCTTGACCCATAGATATTATGAGAGATCATAAATGATATTGACTATTTTTAAGCCACAATGTTTTGAGATTGTTACACAGCAATAGATAACTAATACAAAGTCCAAGAACAAAACAGCAAATGGTTATTAGCTCAAGGGCTAACTAACTCCAATCAACTGACAGTGGTCTAGAGAAAGTTGCATCAGAGCTGAGCAAGAAAGAGGTGAAATTAAATTAGTGGTGTCTGTCATGAAATGGGAAGTGATAGCGACTGTGTTTTTTATTTGCCAACCCTGGTCTAACACAATTGATTATAGACCCTAATAACAATGTCCCAAGGGGGAAAGGAAGAAAAAGACAGGTAGAGGGGGTAGCAAAAGAAGCACTTGACTTTAAGACACAGAGATTCCAATCTCAGCTACTTACCAGCCATGGGAGCTTGGGGAGGTTGTGAGCTTCTCTGGGGCTCAGTTTCCTTGCCTGCAAAATCATGAGAGGGTTAAATTAAATGAGATTGTAACACAGATGTCTGGCGGTAGGTCCTCAATAAGTGAGAGTGTGGTGGGAGTCCTGGCTGAGCCTAAGCAAACTTTGGGTGTGTGGAATGGATGTGAGGTCCATTTGACTTTCAAAAACAGCAACAAGTCACAGCATTCAAGGCCTTCCTAAAGCTCTTCTCCCCAAAGTGCATCCTATGAAATGCATTCTGTCAAATACTAGTCATGTTGGATCTTAACAGGTATTACACAAATGAAGAGAGTTTGCTTACATATATTTATCAAATGACCCAGAAATCCCATTCCTGGTATTCACCGTAGAGATGTGAAAATTTATGCTTACACAAAAACCTGTACATGAATGTTTACAGCAGATCTATTCATAATTACCAAAAGACTGGAAACAACCCAGATATATTTCAACAGTATAAATAAACATGGAATATTATTCAACAATAACAAAGACCTAAACATACACACACACACACACACACACACACACACACACACACAGACCTAATAATTGATATATGCAACAACATGGGTGAGTCTCAAAAGGTATTACCTGAATAAAAAAAGCCAGTCTCAAAGGCTATATAGTACATAATTCCATCTATATGACATTCTTATAAAAGAGAAATGTCAAAAAGAAAACTATATTGGTAGAGAAAAGTCAGTGGTTGCCAGGGGTTAGAGAAGTAGGGGATGTGATTATAAAAGGGTAACACAAGGGAGTTTGGGGGTGTAATAACACTATTCTCTGAATGTGGTCATGGTTACACAAATCCACATATGTGTAAAATTTCAAAGAAGTATACACCAAAAAAAAATGTTAATTTTACTGTATATTATTTTTCAAAATGAAATTAAAGGAAAAATACTTATAAATGTGGAAATTTGGGGACAGAAAACAGGATGCTTTACAATAGGAGTTCTCAGAGCCTTTAACATGCTTTACTCACATATTTAATAGGTATTAATTAACTGTATATTTATTAAATCACAAATGAGTATCTAATGGGGATGCCTGGCTGGCTCAGTTGGTGCATCATGTGACTCTTGATCTCAGGGTTGTGAAGTTTGGGCCCAACATTGGGTGTAGAGATTACTAAAAAATAAAAAATAAATCTTTTAAAAGAATGAGCATCTATGATGCTCAAAAACTATAAGAGAAAATATGTAGCATTTCCCTAACTTATTTGACCACAGAATTTTTTTTCTCACAGCATCTGAGGATTCTGGTGTTTCCTGGATTCACTCTGGGAAATTCACATTTGGTAACAGGTATGAGCTCTTGCCTTGATATCTGGGATCCAGAGAAGACTAAAATGATAGGTTGTGAGTCAGGTACTATTTAACACCAAGTAACAGAGGGGCGCCTGGTTGGCTATATTAGTGGAATATACAACTTTTTAAAACAGTTTTTATTTATTTATCTTGAGAGACAGAACGTGCGCGCACATGGCAGAGGGCCAGAGAGAAAGGGAGAGAGAGAGAATCCCAAGCACATGGGGCTCGAACTGACGAATTGTAAGATCATGACCTGAACTGAAATCAAGAGTCAGATGCTTAAATGACTGAGACACCCAGGCACCCCTTGCATACAACTCTTGATCTGGAGGTTGTGAGTTCAAGCCCTACACTGGGTGTAGAGATTTCTTAAAAAATAAAATCTTAAAAAAAAAAAAAAAAAAAAAAAAAAAAAAAAAAACACTGGGTAATTGAGACTGCCCTATACAAATGCCAGGGTGAGGAGGTTACAAGTAATAAAAGGTAATAAGTACTCTTCTGGTTTTTAAAACTTTTATGTATACATCTAAAAATACACACCAATATTTCTCTGTGTGTATGTGTGTGTCTCTCTCTGTTTCTCTACCACTCATTCATATGTGCATGTGCACTGAAAAAAAAGTCTAGAATCTAAAGGAATTCACCAAAAGACTGTTAGTGGCTAAATCTGTGGTAAAATATTGGGTAATCTGAAATATATTTTCTCTTCTTGCTTTTCTATTTTTCATGATTTTTCATGCTAGGAATGTGAATTACTTGTAAAACAAACAAACAAAAATAGCTAAGGATTTTTAAAAAAGAAAATTTTAAAGTAAAATTAGCTACAATTTATTTGAGCACCTACCATGTCCTGGGAACTATACAAAGCACTTTCTATACATTATCTCTCATTTAGTCCTCACAATTTTTGTGAGAGGCATTACTACTGTTCCCATTTTAAAGATGAAGAAATGAGACTCGAAGCAATTTGCCCAATTACTATGATGTGGATTGAATTTGGAATACAATTATAGAGGCGTACACATACACACCAGCTGTTTTCATATGCACTACACTTTTTTTTTTTAATGTTTATTTTTGAGAGAGAGAGAAAGAGAGAGCATGAGCACGGGAGGGGCAGAGAGAGAGGGAGACACAGAATCTGAAGCAGGTTCCAGGCTCTGAACTGTCAGCACAGAGCCCAACATGGGGCTCAAACTCACAAGCCTTGAGCTCATGACCTGAGCCAAAGTTGGAAGCCCAACCAACTGAGCCACCCAGGTGCCCCATCATACGCACTACACTTTAGAGACAGCTGGCTCAGTTGTCTGAGACTCAAAACCCAGATACGACCACCCTTTCCAACCCCAAATATCCCATAAATTCTCTCCTAGATAACTAGCCATGTGGTAGAGTGAAAAACTTGGCCACAATATTTTGAGGCTCCTCAAAATATTGCAAGAGGAGAGGTAGATTCCCCATTCCTCAAAACTGAGCTGATCTTGAGACTTGCTAATTTGTGTCTGTATTTGTAATTCAGAATTTCTGAATTCTGAATTGACAGAATATGGTAGAAGTGATGCTGTGTAAGTTCCAAAGATGTTGCAGCTTCCACCTTCATACTCTTGGAACCCCAAGACCACCGTGGTATGAAGCCAAAAATGAAATACCACACAGACAATGAGGCCCAGCCATTCCTGCTATTCCAAATGAGCCCATCCCCCAGCTAACCTTACAACTGAATATAGCCACATAAGTGAGCCCAGGCAAACCAACAGCAGAAAATAGTTCAGAGTAATATATTATTGTTGGTTTAAACCATTAAGTTGTGGGGTGATTTTTTTATGCAGCAATAGCTAACTGATACAACTTGAATTGCTCTCTCTCAAATTGTTGAGGAGCCTGTGCTGGGTCACTACTACAGAAAAATACTAATCTAACACAGTGTGGTAAAAGCCCTTTTAGTGAGGTTCTCTTGCACCTCTTTTCCTAATACAGAGATCAAGCCCACACTCCATGCCCAAGAAGTGACTACAGACAGGTCTCAGACTCCCTTTCATATAGACCAAAGGTTTATTCTTCTCAAAACAGAACTATACAACTGAACAGATACTGGTAAGAAAGTGAGGAAGATTACATAATAAAGAATATCAAAAGAGCTCCTTTTGAAAAACAACAGAATATGGGGCGCCTGGGTGGCGCAGTCGGTTAAGCGTCCGACTTCAGCCAGGTCACGATCTCGCGGTCCGTGAGTTCGAGCCCCGCGTCAGGCTCTGGGCTGATGGCTCAGAGCCTGGAGCCTGTTTCCGATTCTGTGTCTCCCTCTCTCTCTGCCCCTCCCCTGTTCATGCTCTGTCTCTCTCTGTCCCAAAAATAAATAAAAAGTTGAAAAAAAGAAATTAAAAAAAAAAAAAAAAAAAAGAAAAACAACAGAATATAATCATAGAAGCATACATGCCCACAGCCAGCTACTCATATGCACTCTACTTTAGAGACAGCTGGCTCCATCGCATAGGAAAAATGTGTGCTGAAATCAATTAATTTTGTTTCCTTTGCTTTTATAGCACATTAGGTTTTCCCCCCAAGATTTAGTGAGTAATGAAACATATTAACTGTAGCAGGCTGAGTTTCAATTAAAGACAGAAGGCAAGGGGCGCCTGGGTGGCGCAGTCGGTTAAGCGTCCGACTTCAGCCAGGTCGCGATCTCGCAGTCCATGAGTTCGAGCCCCGCGTCAGGCTCTGGGCTGATGGCTCAGAGCCTGGAGCCTGTTTCCGATTCTGTGTCTCCCTCTCTCTCTGCTCCTCCCCCGTTCATGCTCTGTCTCTCTCTGTCCCAAAAATAAAATAAACGTTGAAAAAAAAAAATTAAAAAAAAAAAAAAAAGACAGAAGGCAAGGGTCATTTACCTACACTAAATGCTTCTTCAATAAAAACAGGCTCATGAGCAAAAGGAACTTGCTACAAAGAGAATATGACAAATTGTTACTACAACCATCATTTTCAGACACAAATGGCTCTAGACCAGAAGACCATACTAGCTCAAAACATGATATGGAACCCACTGCTAACACCAAGGAATATTCCTTGCACGTTGGGTAACTCCCTGTCAAAATCGGCAACCATGATGATAGGGAAAAAAATACCCTAGCTTCTTGAAGGTTATCCTCTCTCTTGACAGGATGACTCGGCATATTTTCATTTTACAAAATACTGGAATGTTGTCGCAGATTAATTGAAATCTTAAAATAACATCATAGTCTACATTTTAAAAGCAACATCACCAACAAAATAGTGCAGTGCTGTTCGGGGCTTGAGGATGACAATTCTTTTCAGAAGAGAGGGTCTCATAGGGAAAAGAACACAGATGGTATCTTGTAGCTCCCTCACAGCGGGTCACTTTACATTCCTTACTCTCTTTTAAATGCTATTGACAGAACGCCCTCTCAGTCTTTCCTTCCTCTTCGTTTCTCATATTTCTTGGCCGTCCTTTTGTTGATTTCAATCATTTGGCCGCTTCTAATTCTCCCTTTCCTTGAACCTTAGTCTTCTCTTTTCTGCCTTACCTGATACACAAAGAGTAAGACTGCTCCTCATATGACAGCCCCGCATTTCTCCACTGTTAGCACAAAGAAAGAATTCTCTCTCAGACAGGGTCTGGTTACCCTGCAATTTTCTGTGTCCTTCTTTTCTCAAAGATACAAGTCAGTCAGTCTCTCTCTCTGTGTATGTCTTCTGTCTGTCTCAGTCTCTCTCTCCAGGCATCTAATCTGTGATAAAAGAGCGAGACAATGTTTGGTTAATGTTCTGACAGACTGAAAGTAGGACTTAATCATAAGCAAATTTTAAATAGCTCTTTCAAACATTTCCTTAAAGTCGTACTGATGTGGTTTGAAGTGTTGGGGTTTGCAGCTGGGGGCCAAGAAAGAATTCTTGAGATATCTTCAGTGCAAAAGGTGATTTTATTAAAGCACGGGGGCAGGACCTGTGGGCAGAAAGAGCTGCACTGGGGTTGTGAAGAGTGACTCTTCAGGTTGGGAGGGGGTTAAGGATAGCATAAGTCTCTAAGGTACTTTGGAAACAAGGTTTCCTTCCAGGATCTTGAAGGGCTAGCTGCTGTTAGGAAAAGGTCATTTATTTCTGTTCAGTAAAAGCTCAGTCACGAGACCCTTCAGATGTGTATCAGTGGGCCATATGCTTGGAGTACCAGTGCCAACATATATCTTGGGGGTAGAGATAAAGGAAGTTTCCAAAGGAATTTTTATATGTTAAAGTACGTACAGGATCCTGGGGAGTTGGGATAACATTAAGCTAAGATTCCCTTTTTGCCTTCAGTAAAGTGTCATCACGGAGGCAGCTGAGCTCCTAGAGAAATATCCCTGCCTGTTTCAAGGACTTGTCAATGGGCTGTAGGCAGTAAGGGAATTTAATTTTTCATTTGCCTTTGTTTCCCACATCAGTAACCAGACATAGCTTCTAACACAGAAGTGGAATTAAGTTCAAGTCAACACTTACTTAGTGTCTACCACTTGCCACACCTCATGCTGGGCATAGAGATCTAAGTAAGGCTTAGGGTCTGCCATCAAGGAGAAAACCTATAAAGAAAAACTATAAAGAAAAGCAAAGAATAACAGTCAACTACTTGATGGAAAGCCTAACAAATACCACCTAAGTATCACCAATTGGAAAGAAGTTCTTAGTAGAGTGAGGTTCTGTTTTGTTTTATTTTATGAATATAATTTATTGTCAAATTGGCTTACATACAACACCCAGTGCTCATCCCAACAAGTGCCCTCCTCAATGCCCATCACCCATATTTCCTCTCCCCCATCACCCCATCCACCCTTAGTTTGTTCTCTGTATTTAATAGTCTCTCGTGGTTTGCCTCCCTCCCTCTGTGTATCTATTTTCTTTCCCCTTCCCTTCCCCCATGGTCTTCTGTCCACTTTCTCAAGATCCACATATGAGTGAAAACATATGATATCTGTCCTTCTGTTTTCTTTATTTAAAAAAAAATATATTTATTTATTTTGAGAGACAGAGCATGCGCATGGGCGGGCACACACATGTGTGTGGAGGTGAGGGACAGAGACAGAGGGAGGGAGAGAATCCCCAGAAGGCTCTGTGCTAACAACTAGCTCAATCTGAGATCATGAGATCATGTCCTGAGCTGAATCAAGAGCCAGACACTTAACTGACTGAGTCACCCAGGCACCCCTGTTTCTTTATTTTTAATATGGGTAAATGATATAACAAAACTTGCTTTTGCAGGATGATTATTATAGGAGTCAAACCAGACTATGACTGAATGTATCTTGCAACTCTGTAATTCAATTTCATTTCCATTTGATCATCACTGATTCAGCATCCACTTTGGTCCAGGTCCTGTGGAAATAAAAAGGAAATCTATAACCCCTAAAATGAAAGCACCCAGCATCTGAGGGAGTAGAGGGATACATCAAAAATATAATAAAGGGTGTGCCTGGCTAGCTCAGTCAGTAGAACATGCTACTCTTGATCTCAGGGTTGTGAGTTCAAGCCCCATGGTGGGCATGAAGCCCACTTAAAGAAAAAAAAAATCTGAACATTTAAGGGTGCCTAGCTGGCTCAGTTGGTACAGCATGCAATTCTTGATCTTGGAGCTGTGAGTTTGAACCCTACATTGGATGTAGAGATTACTTGAAAATAAAAACATTTTTAATAAAGATAAAAACTTCTTAAATATATAATACACTATAATTATGGGCTGTAATAGAGATACAGAAAATGTACCAGATCTTAGAAGACAGATGAAATTCTCCAGATGGCAGTCTGGTGAGTAGGGAAAGACAGAAGAGGATATCAAAGGATGTTATAGAAGGGGGAGTATATAATAACAAGTAGCTCTCATTAAGGCCCTTCTATGTAGTGGTCACTATATTAAGGCTCTTCACAGTCAGTATTCTCAATAAATAAAGACTAGGGCTGCTTTGGTGGCTCAGTCAGTCAAGCATCTGACTTCAGCTCAGGTCATGATCTCATGGTCCATGGGTTAGAGCCCCACATCAGGCTCTGTGCTGACAGCTCAGAGCCTGGAGCCTGCTTCAGATTCTGTCTCCTTCTCTCTCTGCCCCTCCCCCACTCATTCTCTCTCTCTCTCTCTCTCTCTCTCTCTCTCTCTCTCATTCTCTCTCTCTCTCTCTCTCTCTCTCTCTCCTCCCCTTCCCCCCTCCCCCCCAAAAAATAAACATTTAAAAAATTAATAAATAAAGACTAGCTAGAGGGCTCCCCTTCTTGAAAACATCATACCCTGTTACCTTACACACTTTGGTTTTAGTGGCTGTCAAGTCTATTGGCCTTGAGAGACTAACAGCTGATTGCCCAGGAGGGAAGGGGGCAAGCACTGAAACAGAAGCGCAAAGTGATGGATTCTCACCCTGTTGTTCCTATGTCGCTCTAGGGATATCCTTTAGCTTGCTAGTCCTCAGTTTCCTCATCAGCAAAATGGATTTATTACCAGCTGACCTTGTGAGGTTGTTGGGATAATGGATGTGGAAAAGGTTTTCAAGTCTATCTTAGTGCTCTGTAGGGAAAGGCCCAGGCTGGAAACTCACTTGCCTACAGGGGCCTGGAAGGTAACCTAATTGAGTGAAGCAGGCCTGTGGGAATTCTGCCAATTGTTATATCAGTTAGCTATTGCTATGTAACAAATCATCCTACAACTTAGTGGCTTAAGCCAACAATAGTATATTACTTTTCACTATTTTATGGCTTTGCTCTGTAGTTTTTCTGCTTCTATTTTGCCTGGGCTCACTCATATGGTATATTCATTTGTAAGGCTGGCTGGGGGCTGGGTTGATTTGGAGAGCAAAGCAGCTACTCCTTGTTGATTAAAGTTGAATGCACATACAAAATTGGGCCCCTTGCTGCCAACCTACTGTTCTTAAAATTTTTAAATATTTGTGTGTGTGTGTGTGTGTGTGTGTGTGTGTGTGTGTGTGTAAATCCCTGATTTTTAAGTATGAACTATTTTCATTAACAGAAAACATTGTGTGACCCTACAAAACCCATCTATGGACTGGATTTAGGGTTTGGGCCACCAATTGGTAACCTCCATGCTAAGTAGTATTTTTAGCCAGCCTTTACTTTTGTGTGCAATCTCTTAGGTTTTCCTCAGGCACAAGCGGCCATATTAGGCCCACTTGGGTCGTCCTTTTGGTCAATGGTTCTCAAGATATGGTCCACAGATCAAGAGAGTCACCATCACCAGCATCATTAGAAATACAGATTCTTGGAGCGCTTGGGTAGCTCAGTTGGTTAAGTGTTCGTCTTCGGCTCAGTTCATGACCTCACGGTTTGTGGGTTCAAGCCCTGTGTCGGGCTCTGCACTCACAACTTGGAGCCTGGAACCTACTTCAGATTCTGTGTCTCCCTCTCTCTGCCCCTCCCTTGCTCACTCACTCTCTCTCTCAAAAATAAATAAATATTAAAAAAAAAATTTTTTTAAGAAATGCAAATTCTTGCCCCCACCACACCTATTGATTCAGACACTCTAGGAGTAGGGCCTCTAGGTGAATCTCATGCTTGCCAGAGAGAACCACTGCTCTCCATACCTGAGAGGAGAACGGGTGGGAGGGATATTCAAACTGACTTTCAGAACTAGAGAAATTCTCTTCCTTGAACACCACCAGGTAAGCCACAGGCTCCCATTTTTAATAAGATGAGATCACCACAAGCCAGACTGTATGGCACATACCAAAAGGGCCATGGACTCAGTACCTTCTGATCAAGAAGACTTCACACTAGTTCTCAGTCCTTGCTATGCACTGGAATCAAATGGAGAACTTTACAAAATACTGATGCCTGGGTTTCCCCCGCCCCGAGAATCTGATGTACATGGTCTAAGGTTGCAGCCTGGCCCTCAGGAATCTTAACTGCTCTGCAAGTGACTCTAATTTTCAATCATGAGAATTAACTTGGATCTTGAAACAAGAGAAAAAAGAAACCGGTAACTGTAGATGTCTCTGGGGGAAAGCACTAAGGAATTAGAAGACTGAGAAAGAGTCTCACTTTTTAAATCTATTCTTATAATGGGAACTTCCTCTAGGTTTTTCTTCCTTGAATTTCTAGTGGATTAGCATTCTAGCCACTTCCCACAGAGCACAGTGCTTAGCAATGAATGCAAGTCAATGCTGTGCACGACTTGTCTTTGGGAAATTTATTTTCTTAAAAGAAAATGTTAGAAAGAAAGGGAAGAAAGGAGGGGGAGAGAGAAAGAGAGAGAGATGGGTAGAATGTGAACAAACAGGAAAAGGAAGAGCCATAGATAAGCAAAAGAAACAGTTTGGACAAAGTTTGGAGGTGAATTCCGCAAAGGGCATGTAGAAATAATGAGACCAGCTTACCTAGAGCAGAGGTATGTGCTGGGAAAGAGATACACAGGTATTACAGGAGTCTGATCTTAAACTGCCTTGGAGAAAAAGATGGGAGTGTATTAGGGTTCTCCAGAGAATTAGAACCAATAGTGTGTGTGTGTGTGTGTGTGTGTGTGTGGAGAGATATACGGAATTGGCTCATGTGATTTGGAAGCTGAGAATTCCCAAGATCTGCAGGATAAGTTAGAACCTGGAAACCCAGGAGAATTGACAGTGTAGTTCCCGTCTGAAGGCTGGCAGGCTTCAGACCCAAGAAAAACTAATATTCCAGTTTGAGTCTGAAGAGGGGAAAAAGTTGATGTCCCAGTTTGAAGGCAGTTCAGGCAGGAGAAATTCTCTCTTACTCATAGAAGGAT